CTCCCTCTCTCTCTGCCCCTCCCCCGCGCATGCTCTGTCTCTCTGTCTTTCTCCTTCAAAAATAAATAAAAACATTAAAAAAAAAACCCCAAAAAATAAAATGCACACTAGTTTTTGAAAACTTGGTACCCCAAAAAAGCAAAATACGTCATTAATGATTCTTTACGGTAAGTATGTATTGCAATGATCATATTTTTGAAACCCTGGGTTAAATTAAATATATTATTTAAATGAATTGTACATGTTTCTTTTCCATCTTTTCACATGCGGCTGCTAGAACATGGGAAATTACATGTGTGCCTCGCTTTCTCTTTTTCTTGGACAGGACAGGTGAGCCCGGGGGTCAGCCACCTTTTTCTGGACAGGGTCAGGTGGTAGATCTTTTTAACCTCGCGAGTCCTAGACTCAAGTGTGCCAGGTGCAGCCCTAGGTGCCAATAAAACTTTATTCGCAGGAACAGCTGGTGGGCAGGATTCGGCCTGCGGGCCCATTCTGTCTCCACTTGGGGCAATTTTGCCCCTCCCCCCAGGGGACATTTGACAGGTTCTGGAGACATTTTTGGCCGTCGCGGCTGGGGGTCGAGTGCCCCTGGCCCCCCAGAGACCCCGCGAAGCCCTCCGCACTGTACAGGCAGCCCCGCGGTGGAGACCCGCCCGGCCACTCGCTTCCCAGCCGTGTGCTGTGTAGACGTCGGTACTCTGGTTCCCTGCCGTGGGAAATGGGCCCTCTCAGAACCGAGCTAGTCCCGTGTCCGCCCAGGAAGCGCCGAGGGCGAGCCCCGCGCGGTCGTTTCGCCCAAGCCACGCGTGATCCTTCTAGAAACGAGGCGGCCGGGGGGGGGAGTGACGCGACGCGTCTCACCGCTGCCACTGCTTGCTCATTCCAGGTCCACTTCATCAACCCGGAGACGGTGCCCAAGCCGTGCTGTGCCCCCACGCAGCTCAACGCCATCTCTGTGCTCTACTTCGACGACAGCTCCAACGTCATCCTAAAGAAATACAGAAACATGGTCGTCCGGGCCTGTGGCTGCCACTAGTCCCTCCCCGGAGCTCAGATCCTCGGGGGCCACGTTCTTTCAGGATCCTCGGTCTCCCGCCACCCCCTGCCTTGGCAAGGCACCAGCAGACCCGCCGCCCCTCGAGAGGCCTGTCCCGCCCCCGTCCCCAACCTTAACGGTGTGGGAGCGTCAAGGAATTTGAGAGGTGAATGCCTTTTGATCAGGTTTTCACCGGCCTCCTATGGACAACATCCTACAAGCTGCTGCAGGCAAAGCCTGAAGGAAGACAATATATATATAAAGAAAAATGGCCCGGCCACGATCATTGGCTGTGAAGTCTCTGCCGTGCACTGACTCGTTCCCAGGGGTAATTAGGAGCGCCCTTCAGCCGGGCCCCCCAGCAGCGGGAGGAAGGGGGCGCGGCGAGGCGTGGGCGCGTTGTGTCTGTGCGCAAGGAGAGTTAACACAGAAGTTCCTGTAATAAATGTCACAATAAAACGAATGAACGAAAATGGTTAGGATGTTACAGATATATTTTCCTAAACAATTTATCCCCATCTCTTGGTTTACTCTGGTTTCGTAAACAGAAGCTGTGGCCGGGGGAGGATGGGGAGACACCCCCACCCCCCCGTCATTCCAGTCTGGTTTCATTCTGAGACTTGCAGAGGCCCACTGTTTATATAGACTTGCCTAAATCTAAGATTTAGCCGGGCAGGGAAACGGCAGATTTCTGCTCGCAGGAGGGGGGGGGTGTTGACCTTGAAGGAAAAACATGTTCAGCTGGGTGTGTGTGTGTGTGTGTGTGTGGTGGCAGAGATTAAAATAGGCATGTGGAGTGCTGGCAGACTTTGGAACCGGTTTCCCGGCTCTCCTCATGGTAGGAAACTCGATGTGGCATGCCAGAGTGGACGGGACAGCCAGTGGGACAGCACCTGCAGCGACACCTTGCACTCTAGCCAACATGGCCCCATTTAAAGGAGTGCCAAGGAAGCCCAGCTCTAGATCGGGGTGGGGTGGGCGGGGGTGCTGGCCACCGCCCCGGGGGGCTCCCCTGTTGGGCCGTAGATGGACAGCAGCGTTCTGAGGTCTGGGCTCCAACCGGGGCCCCCGGTGGCCCCTGTTGAGGGCTCTGCAAACAATCAGCTCCTTGAAGTAAGGAGCAGATGACGTGGTTTAGATCTGCTGGATGCCAATCTCAGATGGAAGGATCTAGAAGCCGCTTTGGGAGTAACGTCCTAATCGGGTGTTCCAACTCCAAGTTGCCATTTCTGATGTGGCTCTTGGTGTGAGCCTCCCTTCCCTTGGCCAGTGGGTCCCCTAAATGCTGTGCACCCAGCCACTAGCTGCCACACAAGCCTTGGGGAGCTCTGGGCAGTCTAGAGCAGGGTTGTCCAGATGAGGCTAACCCACACGAGGCTTCATCCAGATGAGGCCTGTGCCCCTGGAGTCCCGTCCAGCAGGGGATTGTTTTCTCCACCTTGATTAAGTTGGTTCCTGGAAACACCGGAGCCCCCGTTTTTATCTTCTTTTATTTTTCTTCTTCAGTAGCTTAGGCTGCAGCCTTCACTCGGCCCGGTCAGTAGGGAAGAGTCACTGTCTTTGCTGTGCTTTGTTTTACCTGTTGGCAGATCTGGGGATTTTTGTGTGATTCGCTCTAGGTGCAAGTTTTCTGGCCACTTGTACCCCAACTGGCCTCTGGCTCGCATCGTCTGTACATTGAAACATGTAAATAGTTGTTACAAAACAAAGGAAATTATTTATGTCCATCGGAAGCTCACTTTACACGCTCCTCCGGTCCCTCGTTCAGGATGATGAGTTCGCTTCCCTCCCCCCCCACCCCCGGCCTGTTTGTTTTCTTATTTAAGACTATTTATTAACGGTCAGACCATTGTACCTTCAGCTGTTGCATAGAGCGGTCCTCAGCGAATTTTCTGTATAAATAGACAAAATAAAGAGGGTTTTTGACTTTTCAATAAAAGGAGACATTTGGTTCTGATTCTTGGGGCCGTGGATGTCGGGTTCTTTCCCTCTTAACTCCCGGACGTCGCCGCTCCCTTGGTTCGCTAAGAACTCTCCGCCTTGGCCCCCACCATCAGCGCGCTGCTCGTCAGCCAGGCCCCGGGGAGAACGGGGCGCTCGTCAATACTTGGTCCAGCTGTGTGGGGCTCCAGGCAGGAGGGATGGGACCGAACCACAAATGTGAACCGGGGAGGCTCGACTACAAAGATCCTTGATTGAATTACAGTGCAGCTGTCAACAGCTGTTTCAGAGAGGCGGGGGGGTAAATTAGCTGTGTTTACTGCTAACATAGTTTAAAGATTTAGTCATCCCAATAAAAGAGAGGCACAAGAAGGAAACAAAAAAGGCAGGCTGGGGGCGGGGGGGGGGGGCGGGGAAGTGCACACCCAAAACCGAAGCAGCAAGGGCCCCGTCGCCAGCATTGTCCAATGCAAATTGTTTCAGTGGTTCGGGGCGGGGGGCGGGGGGGGGAGCTGTTGGCTCTGGGCTCGAGCCGGGGAGGGACCGACCGGTGGGGGCCCCGGGGGAGGCAGCCAGGGGCCCACCTCCTTGCCGTGCGTTCGGCAGCGCTCAGCCGTGCAACATCGTGGGTTCCTTTGTCCCTCTCAAGTGCACCCAGAGGTCGCCTGGTGGATGTTAGGAGCCCGGCTGTTACTTGGCCAGACGGCCGCCCTTCCCCGTTGCCTCAAACGAAACAACCGCTCCCAGCAAGTTCCAGCCCCCGGGATTTCCAAACCCTCCTGTCACTGTCCTGATGCGCAATCTAGCTTTTGTTCCGGTTCCAGGCCAGAGACCGGAGCCGCAAACCGGAGGGCCGGATGCGCCTGCGGACGAGCCTGACCCCCCGCCCCGCCCCCCAGCATGGTGTTGATACGTCTTCAGAAAGGGAGTCCATGGCCTTCGTGGTTTTTGAAAACTAGAAGGTTGAGGGTGAGAAACACATTCGCCAGTTCTGGCTCCTCTTGAGAAATGGGCAGACCTGCCTGCCGTGGGCCGCATTCCTGCATGGAGACTCTCGGCTGGAGCCAAACAGCGCTCGTTAACCACAGTCCTCACTACTCCCAATCGTCTGTCTCGTTAGGCTGTTATTCATAAGGGGTGAATGTCAGTTGCTGTTTTAATCATTGCAGATGGCTATGGATTTGTACCCACATGTCTACTAAGAGCAGGAAATAAAAGCCACACCTTCTGGAAGAAGCCGAGAGGCCAGTCTCAGAGCGACCTGCTGGCCCACCTCCCCCGTCTGGCACCTCTTTGGGCTCCTGCGGGCAGGGATGTTGTGGCCGCGGCGGCGCACATGAGGTCATTTGCCTTCCCGGTTTCCACCCCTCTTGCTCACTTTCACCTCCGAGCGGTTTCTCATCGCCTCCTGTCCCACCCCTGCTCTCCAAGCACCTGCGTCAGGCACCTTTGCTCCCGCGGCGTGGCCTGAGGTCCCCGCTGGTCATGCCGAGCAGGCGCAGAGAGGTGAAGGCGTTTACTCGAAGTCCCCAGCCACCAAGTGCCGCGATGAGAATTTGAGCCCCGCAGCCTGGCCTCCACCGAGATCACCGCAGCTACGATCGCCCGGGGATGCTTGTAAAAGCGGGGTCTCTGGGCCCCCAGCCCCAACCCTCCCAAAGGCCCCCGGGGCCGTGTGTCAGTCCCCGAATCCATGCCGACTTCCTGGACCACAAAGGGCAGGCCTGGGGTCTCCCTGCCGTTTCCAAGCCGCCCGAGACCTCCCTTTGTGAGAACTCTGAGCACAACACAAAGCTTCCTCCCTGGCTGTGGCCGGCGGCCTCTCCTGCCGAGCAAGCGAGCGAGGCCTTCGCTCTGAGCCCTCCCTCGCCTGCCGGTGACGGACCGTGTGTGGGCCCTGCTGAGAGGCTGGGGGTGTTGGCCGTGGCCACTGAGGCCATCTGCTCGGAGAATCCTCACATGTATGTTTGGAGTCCTTCCCTCTGTTCAGATGTTTCGGGGAAGGTGAGCGTGTTCGTCTCCCGGAGCTGCCTGGTGACGTCACCACTGATGACGGCAGTGGTGGCCGAAAACCGAAGGGTTTGCTCGCAGTTCCGAGGCCAGAAGTCAACACTCAAGGTGTCTGCAGGGCTGTGCTCTGTGCAGGGACTTCAGGGAGAGTCATTCCCAGCGTCTCCCAGCTTCTGGGGCTGCTGGCTCCCTCGGCTGGTGGCTGGGTCACCCGTCGTCACATCTCTCCGTTTTCCTCTGGTCCTTCCTGGGCCTTTGGTCATTGCGTTTAGGATTCGCTGGATAATCCAGGATGATCTCATCTCAAGATCCTTAATTACATCTGCAAAGACGTTTTTTCCGAATAAGGTCACATTCGTAAGTACGAGGCATTAGGATGTGGACAAGTCTTTTTTGAGGCCACCGTTCATCCCATTACGGTGAGGTTCCTGTCTTTCTCCCACGGCCTTGTCCTCTTCTGCCCCCACGAAGTTCTGGAGCCTACCAGAACTTCCCAGCAGCCTCAGTCAGTCCCAGCCTGCCTCGTGCCATACGTGCTGCCGCTTTCTGCCCCATCCCGTGGCTGGAGAGGGGGCTGCGGGAGCCCAACCCCCGCCTCCCCCCACTTCCCGCCCTTGGCCCACGCACGACGGGAGCCACCGTCCTCCGGTGGGGCCGACGTGGCACAGGGATCCAGGAGGAGTAGGTAGACCACACACAAGGATGACCACGGCCAAGGGCAGCCAACCCGCGCTGCCCTTTGCGGGAGCGGGGATCTCTCCGAGGAAGCACAGCCTTCCTCCTCGGCCGGAAGCATTCATTCGCTCGTTCGTTCATTCACTCGTTCATGGCACGCACCACCACGCACCAGCCCCGCTACGGCCACTGGAGAGGCAGGGGACGAGGCAAAGCGTCCTCACCACGAAGCCTGCATCCGGGGAGCACGAGAAACAAGTCGTAACTGGCACCGCACCGTGGCCGCGTGGACCCCTCCCCTCACGCAGAATGACGCAGATTCTGTTACGACTGGGTTGGAATGGCAAGTAAGTCAGGCTGAATCCCATTCATTT